AGATGATATTCGTTTCAAAATATGTGTATCCAAAAAAATCAGCAATGCATGTTGATTAAATTTGTGTTGGTTCCAACTATAATAATAGAATTGTCCGAGTATCTGGTGTTTGCCACTCTAACAGCTAGCTAACTTTAAAGATGCTTGTCAGACGTTCTTGTGAGCATGTAATTTTCCTTTAAGATTAATGTTAAATTTCTCTAATCATGGAAAAGTAAAAACGCAAAAATTAATTCTTCAACTGCAGTATCATAAACCATTCTCACTTTTCAAAACTAAAATTCTTAACACATCATGCAATTTTGTAGTGACAAATCATAAAACACTATCTTTGACGAAAAACAAATTATAAGGGAACGGTAAGAACATGCTCGACGATAAAATCACTTTCACTATGATGACTATGATTCCATGTTTGTTTCAGTAACTTAACAAGCCACTTCTGCACAACTACTGAACAAATTTTGTTCTCTTGACGCAACATATTTACACTTGTGGTAATATCAGTGACGCTATCGGTAATACTTGTCATCGTAAGTTCAATGAGTCACCATAAGGAGCTGCAAATTGGTTCAGCAAAAAGGATTAGCAATAAAGGCTAAATAAGTGTCTGTAAATTAAAAAATTTCTATATATATATTTATTTGCATACGAATTTTTCAAAATGTAAATAATTTTTTGAATACCAGTACCCATTACTTAAAATATACTTTTATATCTTGAAAAGAGAATCAAATTTATACGAATTATTTTTTGAAAGTGGAATTAAAAAATCTTCATTTATTTTCCGAGTGTAAAAATATGAATTATTTTATCATTATTCAATTATTTTATCATGAAAGTTTATTTTCCGCTTTAACAAAGCAAATTTTTAAAATCAACTCTTTGTTGCACAGTTCCGTTACTTCATAATAATATGATCCTAACTAGCAATTAATGATCTTGAAACTCACGATATCAAGAATACTTTTATCGGCAAATTTCTTTATCCATGCAAGATTAGAACAACGTACTACTGTGTCATGATATTTCACAAATGGTGAATTAATTATCGCATACAGTATCTCGCGTACACGTGCCTTAGAAATATAAAATGATAAAATGACCTGATGCAATGTTGTGCGTGTTATGCAAAGGAGAAAATATCTAAACACAAGTAATGCTATTATAATGTTTTCCATGGTTTTCAAACTAAATACGTAATGGTGTACAAAGATCAATCACTAATTAATCATTTTTGTTGCGACATTGATTCTGATATAAAATAAGCAACTTTCACTAGTTATTCTTATTTCATATCGTATTAATAATGAAACGAAACTTTAATCAATTCTTAATTAGTATAAAACATTTGAAAACAAGTGGAAGAAAGTTATTAATGTGACGACAGAAATCTTAACATGATGTGGAAAAATCATTAATTATTGCAACTGCAATGCATACATTGCTTTCACGTTACACTAACTGTTTGCAAATTTTATATCGAGAAATAGAATATATAAATGTTAATGAATCTTGTCTGTAAAAAATTTGTTGGTTCATTGATTTCTCCTTTCAGTGATCAAACACCTTTGATAAGTAATATAACTCGTTCATAACGTTATCAACACACATTGATTTCGTGTGTGCATTTATCTGTATCAATAAACACGAATTAATAAAGATAAGTAATTAATAACCCCAAAAATATGGCTGTACCTCCAGCAATTCGTTAGATACTTTGTTTATCAATGTGAACACTCAACACATCAAGAGATAATTTCATAATCATGTCATTGCCCCTGATCTATTATATCTATAATAAAATAGCTATTCCTATTTTATTTAATTTTCCTTAAATGAAGCCGGTGATGAGTGAATCTTATATTTCATGAATAGTATCGTTAAAACATTATCTTCATTGTAACTTTGTTCAATGTAATAGTATCGGTCAGTTGCGTTACTCGGTTGATTGTACGGTTCACCGAATCGTTATAAGTGTGATCCTTTTTTTCTGACGCAACTTTCTACCACACGAGAGATACTTGTGTTAATAACAAATTATGTAGAATTTATCAATTGATACTTGACCGTTTAATAAACTTGTCAAAAATACCCTTGAACTAAATTCGGCTGAAGATGAACCATTCGATAGCTTGCTAAGAGAAAAAACATTTTGTAGCAATGTGCAACTGCTTATTTCAACCAGGAGCGTAGTTACGAAGAAATTTTGGATTACTAGTTTCTCTTTTATCTTCTTCATTTAAAATGTAACAATCTCTAAATTAAAATATCACTTCACACAAATGCAAATATAAATATTAACAAAATGCAACAAATCATAACTACTGAAGCAAATATTGAATAAATTTTCCAGATTGTTTCATCATGTATTGTCATAACTACTATCTTTACTTTTTTTAAGTTTTTGGCAACATGTAATATAGTAAAATAATTAAAATCGGAATTAATTAGTATGATAAATTACCAAAGATAAATTACTTTGAAGGGGAAAAACAAATTTTAAAAAAATTAAAATCCAATTATTCTGTTTTAATAACTTAAATTAAAGAATAATTAAAATCCAATTATTCTAAGTTTTATAATTTAATTTATTCCATAAGTACAGTAAATGATAGTATGTCCATATTCACTCTTGACGACAGTAGTTATGTAGGAGTTCGATCATGGAACCACTTCGTACTCCTTGAACTTGGATCGAGTCTCGTATGGACTATTTTTTTTTGTCAAAAACCATGTTCAAAAATCATATTTCTTTGGATAGTTGAAACTTAGTGCAAAATATTTCTTTTTTGTAAATTATGTAGTAGCTTATCATGGGTTTAATTTTCTAAAATTCTTTTATTATTTTCGTATATACTTATTCCTAATATGAAATAGATTTAGAGCTATGCAAGAAAACAAAATCATAATTTAGGAATTGTTAAATAGTAAGACGAATGTACAGAAGCAATAAGGTACAGTAGAAACACAATGTATACTGAAAATGTGTAAATTATTAAAAATATTCGGCCGCAAGTGGAAAACATTAAACGGTAATTTATCTATATATTATAAATAACGAAATTGTAATCGTATTTTCATTTTAAGCTTATTAAAGAATAAAAAGTTATCTAATTTATAACTGACACTTACACTACTGTTAGTAAGTTTTTATTCTTAATAATTTGTAAATAAAATTCAAACGGTAATTATTTTATTCTTAATTTTCATCTTATAGTGTCGTGAAAAGCTAACCCATACATTTTCTTTAGTTTTAATATTTTATATTATTTCATTTCCTTTGTTAATCATTTGTAATGTGTTAAACCTGGAATTCTTATAAAGCAAATGAGACTCCTACCTTTTTTTGGATAGGATTTTCGTTAAAATTAATAGGTTCTAATTTAAATAAAATAATAACAATCATTTTGGTCAAGGTTACTGGTTTTAAAATGCTTTTATAAGCTATATTTTAATAGTAATTAATGTATACAAAAAGTTAATATATCGGTAAATAATTTCTAAATCATACTTTTGATAGAAATCAAATTATTTTAATTCATAAAAGCGCACAAGTGTTACAATTAAAATAAATAATGTACTATTAGAACCTGAGGTATTAAACAAAATTATATCACCCTAAAACAAAAGAGTAACAGACATCAAATTAAAAACGTTCTTTTCAAAATCAACTTGTGTGAACGTTAAAGCTCATGTATCAAAAAGTGAATATCATAAGATGGAAGATACCTAACAGGAAGATAGAAATGATTTATTTACTAAATAAAAATGCTTACCCGCTGTGTATAATACATATCTCATATTTAGCTACGTCGACCATATTGTATCAAGGTGTTGATTACGTATTATCAACATATTAAATGCAAGGTCACGTTTTCCTACTTTGTTCAGGGCCTGTATAAAATTTCACGTGTATCACTGTTCGTAGAACAATAAGTTATGAGTAAATTAATTTCCTTTCATCGACGGTACATTACACCATTATACGATAACTCATCTGCTGATAGAGTGATTGGCAAAGATTACATCACTCTATATCAAATACGTCATAAATATCACGTAGTGTAGCAGAAAAGCAAGTCACCCTTAACATAGATTCTATTGAAAACTGACTATAATTACGTCATTCCTGTTCACCCTTGCAATAACTAGTTTCATGCTGATCCATATTTTTATTTGTGTGCTAATAATAAAGAAGAAATTGATATTAGTTACTCCACTAATTATTTTATTGCGTTAAAAGTGATAACTTTTTACAGTGAGACTTTATTAAATTAATGTATACATTTAATATTTATCTAATCTATTTTTATTTCAATTCTATTGATCTTAATATTACGCTAGTTTAATAACGCAATTGGTAATTAAACATGCCATTTACGTAAATTAAGATTTAAGTAAATTTTGGACATTATCATATCACTATTTAATTGTTTCTTTGCAACATACTTAAATTTAAATTAAATTCTTCAAAAAGTGATATAATTGCAGGAAATAAATAAATGGAAAGACTGAAACACTTAAATTAATGAAGGTTAATTTATCAAATATAAATATTAAATTACGATTTATTTATAACATAATTCAGTGAATCAATTTTTATATATTAATTTACCATGAAAAATCCTGGCGTGAGAACTTCTGTTACATGCGGTAAATTAAAAAATCATTAAGGGGCAGTAGTCAAAAGAAAGATATTCAAATATATTATTTAATTTCATCTATTGCAGAATGAAAAATAAAGTAACAGAATACAATATTGAATATTCTTGATGTTGCGAACATCAATTTATTAATTTAAATTACTCTCAATTAATAGATAAATAATTGCATAAATGATAAATTCAAGTTACATTGGTAAAATAATTTTCATATCTATCCTACAACATGCCACACAAACAATTCTTGTCACCCCACTTGAGTATTTACTTTCGTTTGGAGGGAGGTTCAACGACATATAAAAACGTGTCTGATACCATCGTCTGCTCAGTGTAAATTCTGCTTCTTCGAGAGAAACATACAACGCGTGTTTACTGTAACTTTATAATAGTTCAAGACAACTCTAACGCGGAGCTCAAAGTTCAATGCAACAAGTGTTTGTTATAGTCTTCGAAAGTTTTATTTTTTCCTCATTTAGTTCGCGAATGGATCAAATCTTGACGGTTGCTCGAAAAACGGAAACTATTTAAAAACGAAGGTGATCGTTAACTACTCACTCCACTAAAGATAAAGGTTTGTTTCGAACGTTACATTACAACTGACATGGCATGAACATTACAATTCATATGACTGTGTTATCAGTGGAAATATTGACCGATTAGAAAAATCGTCCATAATTTGATACACTACGCTCGTTTCACGTATCTTCGACACTGTAAACGATCATTTTTACGGTGTAAATGCAAAATCTTGAGCACTTTAGATAAGAATTTTTTAACTATTCTGATAAATAGTATATTACTTTATTTCACCATTATTTCATTAAAACAATGAAATTTTTATTTTACGGAGAATGTTTCGGACATTTCGGAATAAACACGTGAAATAAATAATTTCTTATCGGTTGTTGTTTACTGTAAAAATCTTTGTTAAAATTTATCTATCTTACAAGTCGAGTTCGACTATTACATTCTTCAAGTAAACAAAAGTATTTGTAATTATAATTAATTTCTTATTAAACTAAGGTCACGAACGGAAACTATTTTCATGACTATGTAAATAACGATAAAATCCATTGTTTCAAGTAATCGTTACTTTCTGATACTTTCCCCGTGTGTTTTTCGCGAGCTAAATATTATTTGACGTTACCGCTATCAGTTTTATTTGCAATAATATTCATCTGACGCTTGAAACACTTTTGTAAAGAAAATAATGATACGTATACCTCGAAAAGTATTTATAAATGTTTTAAACAAAATTATTGTACTATAACTTAAAGAATATATTACATATTATAGCTTTAAACACGATACAGAAATGTGATATATTATTAATGGTTGCATAACTTATAATCCCATTGCTAATATAGTACTTTCAATTAAAGCCATTTTTTCCTTCGGTGAGTCAGATATTCTAATTAACAAGCTATAGAAGTAACGGTCATAGCTTATTGAATGAATCAGTTAAGGTTACTTTTTACATTTCATTCTCAACCTCCTAACATTACATGCATTGACGTAAAGCATAATCAAGTAATATTACGAACATTATTATAAATATTAACATATTTGCACACTTTCTGAAATTCAGTAACTCATTAACAGCAATATTTTGATCGATATTACACTTGATCATTAAATAATTGTACATCAATCGAGTATTTAAATATAAACATGATATTGTGATATAAATACAGTACAATTTTACATCGATTAAACAAATAATTTCTACATGATCCACCACGAAGATTGAAGTTAATAATTCGTTTAATTAAGAAAAACCGTGACTAACTAACGATTAATTTAATCACTAATCGTCCAGATTAATTAATGCTAATTTAATTTATTTATTCGAACATTTTATTACAATGTCGACAATGCGACACTTGAATTCTAATCATGAATCAGGATTTTCATAAGAAGTTACCGTACACCGAAACGTATATTCTGATCATGCCTGATTTCTTATCATGATTATTTTCCAGGTGCGCCACGTGTAGCTAGTCAACGGTTTAAAAATCCGCCTCCAGTCTACTCGAATTCCGCGCCGCAGTTGATTTCTCGGGTGACAATAGGTCACGTGACGCGATCTCTCCCGAGTAGCCGTTCGTGTCGACCGAGGTTATAAATATCTGCAGGCAGGAAGCGGGGACTCTCTTTTACTTTCAACACTGTACCATAGTGCGTTCGCTCTGCGGTCACTGCTATTACGTTCCGTGCTGTGCTGGTGTAGGGGTTTGCTCACGCAAGACCAAAGCAGGGTGTACAAACCAAGCAATCCACTTCAGCCAATTCAATCAAACAAGTCGAATTAATAATCAAAGTCACAGCACGTGACTGTAGTCCAGCTGAACGAGAAGGCCCCAGCTATCAGAAAGAAAATGCCGGAGACCGCTCACCACATGAACGGATACGCAAATGGGCATACACCGCCAGAGCTACAGCAGGACACCAGTTTTCTCTTCACCTCGGAGTCCGTCGGCGAGGGCCATCCAGGTATCTACCTTGTAAATCAGACATTCGACTCATGACTCCGCCGAAATTTCGACCTAACAGTCTCCATATCGCCGTAAGTCGCGTGTGCCGCCATGAAATTCTATCAACGATCATACCCGCGTGCGCACGACCCTTTCTTGATTTAACACGTTCGCCACTACGACTATTTTGTCTCGATAGCACAGGCCTGAAAACCAAGACTATACGGTTCAACTGTTGATAGGAATGTTACTTTGTTCCTGCCTTTATTGTCTTCGGTTATAAATGCGGTTACCGTATTACCGTATAAAATTTCGGGGTCACGTGTCATTCAAACCGTGCATCGTACAGTCCATTAGGAAGGAAATGTATTTTTAAATGTATACAAAAAAGCAGAGTCGTTGGAAACGATTTTCCTCGACGATTAGAAATTTGAAACAGAATACACGTGAAGATAGCGACACCGCATTCTTGAATTTTGATTATAGGTAAGGGTTCTATTTATTTTATTCTAATTTCCACGCGGTATAAAAAAGGAATCACCGTGTCTGTTATTAGTAATTTGAGAATGCAATGAGAATGTAATTTTGATTATTCTAGATTTCATTAGAGTTTGGTTATGGTGGAGTAATAGAATTGGGTAAAACACGATTATCTCAGAGATAAGAAATAGAAATGATCGGCGTCACCATGTGCTCAATAACTTGATCTGGAGGACTTGAACATGAGGATTAAGTTTTATGACAATGTTATTATTAAATTTGTTTTTCTTATTTTACTGAAAGACTGATGGAGTTTTGGGTTATGTTGATATCGGCTTCGGGTTATTTAAGGTTTCACAAGCACGATTCGGACGGAACTTAGTTGAGAGTTTTCTATTTGTGGATTCGTGCTGAAAGCCTTCGGGCGGGCTTTTTAAACTACGCATAGGTTTATGTACGAATAAAATAGATTTAAGTTACCTTATAATGTGTTATTCTTTTATGGTGCGCTTCTGATTTGGTTAAATTTTTAGTCATTTTTTAAATTTAATATTAATTACTTGTTCATGATTAAATTAATGATTTAAAAATTAACATTCTTTGTCTTTATTTTACGTTTTTAGTGAGTGAATATCACTTTTACGCTAAGAAAGATCGAATTACGATTAATTAATTAATGCCATACATTTATTTTATCATGCCATTATTTTTACAAATAATATCATACAATTAAGGAATTTCTTATTTCGATTTTAAATTAAGAATGATCTAAATTAAATTATATTTAACTAATTAATGGTATCAGTAGTTTACATCAATATGGAACTATTATTATAAACACTAATTTTTCTTCAAAATTTTAGTTACTTTTTAAACATTAAATATCCATTAATGTGATTTAAAGTTAAATTTACAAATGAAAGTTTATTTTTCCTTTTAATTATTTATCATGATAAATCTAAGTTTGTATTAAGCATATTCAATGTAATTACTTTCTAAATTAATAGAATGTAATTAATTGTAAGTGGTTTTGCTTTTAGATTGTTATTAATTTTTATAAGTTACAGTAAAGACTAAACAAATATTCATGTTATTTTCAATTTGCTTATACTTTTGATTTGAGAAATGTTTTTTTGTTTATTTATTATTTTCACATACTTTTCTAAAAATACTCTGCATTTAAATAAGCTTCTACAATTCAATCTTCAATTATATAAAATTAAATATTAATAAGATTTAATCTCTTTCAGACAAAATGTGTGACCAAATAAGTGATGCCATTCTAGATGCACATTTAAAACAAGATCCTGATGCAAAAGTTGCATGTGGTAAGTTTTCTTAGAACAATCTTAAATTTTCAGTGATTCCAATCTGTTCCTGTTACAACCTCTATTTATAAGCCTATCAATTCAACCTTGAGTTAATTTTGAAACAGAACTCTAGGGACCTAGTACTTAATACAATAGCTATGTAGTAAACTTTTATTCAGCGCAAAATATTTCTACTAATTTTTGTCCATATCATTTTTCATTTATTTAGAAACTGTTACAAAGACTGGAATGATACTGTTATGCGGTGAAATTACATCGAAAGCAGTGGTAGATTATCAAAAAATTGTTCGAGACACAGTGAAACACATCGGCTATGACGACTCATCCAAAGGTAAAAATATTTTTAATTCTATCTTATATTATTTATTACAGTGGTGTATGTTTGTTAAATCCTATGCCACCCCTAAAGTTTTGTTCAATTTATTTTTATCTCGTACATCTAAAGCATTTAAAATTTTCCTTGCTAACATAAGAATTTATGACATACACATGCCCTGTGGCTGGATGAAGATTCTCTGTTCTCTTACTCCTTATGCAATTCGCCTCATTTGGTTCTTTTGGATCAAAATTTTGCAAATACACGGTCGAATCATGGCACGAAAGCTTCCAGCATTATTAACTACAAACTTTGTCAAAACGCTTATAATGTTAATTGTGTTAAGTTATAATAATGAGTGTGTATTTGTGTATCGAAAGGATGTGCCTTACGCTACATACACGTTAATAACAGACTGTTGGACTTGAAGAAATTCCATGACTCGATCGATTGGATAATTAATATCCGGTTCACATTATCTTTTGGATCAAAAAAAAATAAGTGAGAAAACACGTATGAATATGTAACGTAAGCATATCATGATCGTGGCAGGATTCGATTGGCGTACGTTGAACCTTTTGGTGGCGATCGAACAACAATCTCCAAATATCGCTGATGGTGTTCATGTGGACAGGGAAGAGAAGGACGTGGGTGCAGGTGATCAGGTACATAACCCATTCTCAGCCCGTGCCGCAGAGCAGCCATATAATTCAATAATTTTCCCTGTTTCATATTGCCCTTCACCCACTCCTACTATATATATTAAATATTTTTCTTTAACATACACTACCCTTATGTTCAGTGTGAGTGTGTAAATTGGTATGAATGTGAATGTTACATGATACAACATGTATTTTATAAGATTAGAAAATTCAGTTTTATTCTTACTGCGAAACCTTCACTGTTTTGTTAAGAAACAGCTTTCGTCAAGCTTCTCAAAAAATTGATCATTAAACATTTAATCATGATTATAACAAATACACTTTTTAAATAGGTTTTAAATAACATCTTGATGTTATGTATTATAAAAATTATACAGAAACTTTTCACATTTTTTTAATAAAATTATTATTGTATCGAATTTCTGAAACAAATATTTAGCATCGGTACATGCACTATTTTAAGTGCTGATTCACTATGGAAACCTACTTGGTGATATCATATTTCATAAAGCTTCGGAAGAAGTCGTACGATTTTTTTAAAAATAGTGGATTAACGATTTATTCAATTTTTTAAATGAATACTTAAGATTGATCAGCCAAGACAGTAATCTGTCGATGAAGAAGTATAGTAATATTTTTGTTCCCAACATGTATATCTCATTCGTGTAATTTCTACAGGTTTTGACTACAAACTCTGCAGTGTTCTATTGGCGCTTGATGCCCAGTCACCAAATATTGCTGCAGGAGTTCATGAAAATCGTAGTGATGAAGAAGTGGGTGCAGGAGACCAGGTCAATTAGCATTCTGATCATTGAATATGAACTTTCTGTTCTTCTTTCTGTTGTATCTAATGCAGTTCTTAGTAATCTTTAGCTTTTCAAGTAACATGTGTACTTTATCTTCTACTTTTCCTTTCTTTAGTATTTGATATCTTAAGTAAAATGCTTTTTAGACTTTCATTATTGTATATATGGTACCTGCAATTATAGCGTAATCTTTTTGTTACTTCTTTGTGTTGCATACAAGCTACGCTATTTAAAATATTGGATTCTTAGTATCGCCTTAATGTGATTATGGTGAAGGTTTGTGTATCCTGCTAGATTTCATTTTGTATTTAAATTTTTCTATTTTCTTTTTTTTCATTCTTTAATGTGTCCTCTATTTAAAAGCTGTTAAATATAAAAGTAGTTAGTTACTGTTATGTTTGTTTAAACATAATCGTTAAATTTGTCACCAAGTCATGCACAAGTAAACTGTAGATATTAGTTGTCATTTATATTCACTTCCATTTTCATTTAAAACGTAATATCATATTTAACTTTCTATTCCCGCATATAGATTTTGTAACATTTAAAGAACATGTTTTTTACAAAAACTGAGATTCAATGAGTTTCTAAATAATAAGAGTTCAAAAATATGTACACCTGACCCTTGATTTACACAAAAATCCGTTCCACGCGGATTCCTTTTGCACAAATGAAAATCGCATAAATAGAGTTTGCCAGTACAAAAGAAAACAAAATATTGGAAAGAAAAGTTGGTATAAGTTTTAGAAATACATATTTATTTCACATAACCAAACAAAAGAAATAATAGTCACATCTCAGAAAACAAAAGTATATTTTATTTGATATTACTAAATTGAAATCGCGCATAAAAACTACCGCATAAATAGTTTTCTCATTTACCGCGTAAATTCAGAGCCAAGTGTATATTACTTCTATCTTCATGTGTTGACATGACAATTACCATTGTAAATATAATCTTACATTTGTAATCATCTTTATACATTTTTCCTAACTAATCCACATGATCATTAGAGTGTGTGTTGAAAACTAACTACTGTTAAATTGTTAGACACTATTACCCTAACATTCTACTTCAATAATTCTGTTCTGCTCTGTGTTGCACCTTCCTAGTAAATTGTAAATTTTCAATAGTGTGACTGACAGTTAATTACGATTTTAATGATACTTACTGTATGCCCCGTCCACTAAGCTGTCTATGCTATATGTATACTCTGTTTTTTTTTATTAGCAATGCTTGATCTCCTACTGCAATTTTATGTAATATTGCAAATTAATTAAAGACATTGATTAAATCTGTCTCCTGCTTCAAGTTTATATCTCATAAATTTTAGCTGGAATAACTCAAATTCTTCTATCAGGGTCTCATGTTTGGATATGCAACAGATGAAACCGACGAGTGTATGCCATTGACGGTTGTTTTGGCACATAAGTTAAATCAAAAGATCGCAGAGTTAAGACGAAGTGGTGAATTATGGTGGGCAAGGCCAGATTCAAAAACACAGGTTCGTTGATTCTTGAAAATACTTAACATTATTAGGTCGTGTAATACGAAACATAGGATTTTGCGGGGACAAGGAAACCTTATTTGACGTTCTAAAAGATGTTTAATTCGGTTCGATACATTTCTGCTAACATGTTTTCAATACTTTTTTTTTTAATTCTGGATATTTAGAATAAATAAATTCTAAAGGCATCGTTATAAACTACTCTTTCGGGTTTACCACGCGTCTCACTTTGGAAAGAAATATCACCGAAACGAAATTTTGCAAATCAAGGCTACACTATTCTTTTATTCATAGTATTATCTCTAAATGCTTAGTTTATATTTTGAGTGGCTTTTGCAGTATTATTTCCAAGTTTAAATTCATATAAGATGTATCATGTATGTGATTATCCATGTTTTCAAAAAACGATGCAAGAAATAGTTGTAATGCACAATTCGGAAAAATGTTCCTGCAAAATATTACTCTCATTATCGACAATGAAACTGTTTAAGAGATTATATGAAAAACAAAGGAATAACAACAAGTACAAACATTTACGAATAAGGAAAATCCCATATTTCATATTACACGACCTAATAGTATACGTTTTATGCCGTTATTAACACTAGGTTTACGAAACGCGTCAAATTGACGCATATTGGATTTTAGAAATATTATTTTGTAAATGTTTACACCGATTTTGATTGATGCGATCACAGTGACATGTATCCCAATTACCTACTATCAAATCTCCAGTTTCCACAATCTAAATAAACGAGCATCAATTCTTTTAGGAATAATAGAATCAAGTGTACAATAAATGCCCGTAAACCTAGTGTTAATTGTAGACATTCAGTGATGTTATATAGTATTTGCTACTCTTGAGTGCCATGATGTAAACAAATTTTCTGAGAATATATTATAATAGTATTAATAATATATATTTGAAAAATGTGTTATTAATGTAAAGTGAATTTTTTAAATAGGTTACCTGCGAATATGTTATGGATCATGGTGCTTGTGTACCCATGAGAGTTCACACAGTAGTTGTATCATTACAACATAGTGAAAAAATTGGATTGGACGAGTTGCGTAAAGCAATTATGGAGAAAGTTATTAAAGATGTAATTCCAGCCAGGTACCTCGATGAAAGAACAGTCTTCCATGTTAATCCTTGTGGATTGTTCATTATTGGTGGGCCACAGGTAAAATAATCATTATTCAGGCTATATTTAAACTAAGCAGTATTGTTAGAGACATCTGTGGATCACTCGATTTGTTGACCTTCTCTAAACTACACGATTATCATATCCTTTATTGTATGAGACTAGTTTACTGATATACAAACAGGTTTTCTTAAAAATAATTTCTCTCCCTAGGAAACTTATGCTTAGTGAAATCCATAAGTAAAATATAATTTTTACATATTTAAACTTGTAGTATTAATCTCGTATAACTGTATAGATAAAAAAGAGAAATTATATGTGTATGTATAAAGGTATATAAGTCTATAATCCTTATAGTTCGAAATACGCTTAATAAATAACTTATGCAACTACACCTGCCCTATTTAAATCACTGTCTTTGTTTACAGAGTGATGCTGGTCTAACTGGTCGAAAAATAATAGTAGACACTTATGGTGGTTGGGGAGCTCATGGCGGTGGTGCATTTTCTGGTAAAGACTTCACAAAAGTTGATAGATCAGCTGCTTACGCGGCACGGTGGGTGGCGAAGTCTTTGGTGAAAGCTGGTTTATGCAGACGCTGTCTTGTACAGGTATAAATCATTAATATTTTAAGAACATTTAACAAAGAATAGACACAATAATTTAATTATTATAATTTAATAATTATTTCATTGTTAGGTTTCGTACGCCATTGGAGTGGCAGAACCTCTTTCAATCACAGTTTTCGACTATGGTACATCTAAACTGTCTCAAAATGAACTTTTAGATATAGTTAATAAAAACTTCGATTTACGGCCCGGTAAAATTGTTAAGTAAGTATATCATTGATGAATCATATAAAAAATATCTAACGTAGATATTACTAAAATGAATTCATATATCCGATAAACAATATGAAGCATTTAAAAATAATATTTCAGTTAAATCAATTCCATTATTTTAAATATTTGAAAAAATAATTTTAATATTAATTTATTCATTTTCGTTTCAAAGAAATTTGTTATAACTACAGTTTTAAGAAATATAACTGTATTGGATATTACATGGTTATTCTATGATGTTCTAAAGTATTTGCTAGTATTGAATGCCATGATATAATGTAAAATTGCTGAGAATAATCGTGACATTATCAAATACAGCGATGATTGTAAACATTTTCTACGCGTTACTATAATTATAATAATAGTTACATTTATAAATTAATAATAATTATAATAAATACTAATTATGTGATTATTACAGAGAATTGAACCTGCGTAATCCGATCTATCAACAAACCAGCACGTACGGGCATTTTGGCCGAGAGGGTTTTACTTGGGAGCAGCCAAAGACACTAATTCTCGATTGATGAGAGCATAGATTTTAAATGACTCTAGCGTTCTTTAAAGAACGTGTAATTTGCTCTCAATTAATCGTGTATATCTCGTAAATCATTCTCCGAGATTTTCTGACCTCCACGCTACATTCGCAAAGTCCATCAATTCCTTTTGCCAACCTAGCAAACTAGCAGGAAGAATGACGTGTACTAGTTTCTCCGCACCACGACGTACTTGGTATTATGTGGTATAGTACAAATTCCGTTGACCCAGCATGCCAGCCGAGGACAGTTATTTTTCCTTTACCACAAAAAAATTAATTACCAACCGTTAAGGTATTAAATCTATATCGACAAAGGGAAAGGTGAACTAAAACCTGAGTCTGTTGGCTCGACATGGCTGCAAGTGGTGTGTGTTGAAAAGAAATCTACAACAAGAACAATAAAAAGAACGAAAGACGTTGAAGCATTTGCAAAATGTATAAATTGGTACCATCTTGAGATGAAACGATTTTCTCTCAGATTTTTAGCGGTATTAGTACTTTGCGAACGTACGTGAAAGTCCAACTTGTCTTTAGTTTGTTATGTTTACCTTTACTAGCATTTTAAATGAATAATTTTGGGCTTTCATGTACGTTTCTCTTTAACTAGAACTATTAATCGTTCGAGTGCAAACATAAACTGGTAATATACATTCATTTTAGCAAAGTGGGAAAAATTGACCAATTACAAACAGACTTTCTTTTCATATCGTTTGAAAATCCTCTGTGACACGAAACAATATATATATATATATCAATCAAGAGTTATTAATATGGCGTTTACTGAAACCTGTTAAGTAAACTTTCTTGGTTATGTTTGAATTTAAGTAAGCGTGATATTATCAACTCTTATATATTTATATATGAATATACAATGATTCTAAATGATTTACCTTGTCGGTAGCGTTTACGTCACTGGTAATAGTTCCTAGGATAATGACACTATTGACAACGTAAATTATTGAGAGTTATTGTACACACGTGAATTTCCCTCTTTGCTCCTTTATGAATAGTTAATTATAATAGATATTATCGATCTTACAATGTATAGTAAATAATGTAACATGGAAGATAACAGGATCTTTGTTCATAAAAGGTTTAAAAAGATCGTGTGGCGGAGCTCGAAAACTGAAATGTGACTTTTTCAATGTGTAGTGTGACGAATCCGTGAACATCAAGTTTTAAACGTGTACATGAAAATTAGTGATTTTCCGTTCGTTAGATTAATGCAACAATCTATCGTAATAATGGTATTGGCTATGTAAAGATGCACAAGATCATCGTATGCAAGTCATAATAAAGAGGATTTTTTAATAAAATACTAAATTGTCCATCCTACTCATTTTTATTCCAAAGTGTTTATCGATTGCCCTTAAAGTTCCTTATAATATGTCATGATTTTTGTATAAATAAAAATTTTTATTTCATTAAAGATTCTGAAATAAACAAGAGCTCTGTTGCACAATAAATTATAACTGCAATGATGTTAATGAATAATTTTTATACACATTTTCAGAACAAATTGTGCTTTTCCTAGATAAATGTGTGTAACTTTTTACTACATAAACAGAATTTTTGTCTTTGTACGAGTAGCAGGTCTGGGCATTCTTTAAATAAAATAATTTCATTTCGTATTGATGCGATTGAGCAACGCTATCTTAATGAAATATATCCATTAAACAATTATACTGTAATTAACATCCAATAAAATAATTTAGTAACAATCATTTAAAATATTTTTGCTATGTAACCACTGCCTTTTGTGAAACATTTCATTTGTATAGTTATTTTCTTTCAATCTTGTTCTTTAAAAAAAAAGTGTTTTTACTAAGTTTTTTAAAATGTTATTTGCTATTTCAAATAATTTATGTCCAGCTCTGATGTATAGGGTACATTTTACATATTTTGTGTGCTGTAGTATAATATACAATGTTCAATATTTAGTAAATTGAATTGGTAGGATATGTATGATACATGTAAAGTATTTGAAATTTTAAGAAAATACTAATTGTAGTTTATGTAAATCCTTTATAAGTTATTCAGTATTGGCTACTAAAATTACATAATACACTGCCTAAAAAGCAGAAGAAATTAATAAACTCTAAACTAACAATATACAAAATATCAGGTTCTAAACGAAGTCTTTGCGTTTGCAATTCTGAAAAAATCCACTTGGCTATGGTCGGAAATTTACTTATATTATTTGTTTTTTTATATTATATGTTGTAAACCTGTAATTCTGCAGAAATTCCGAAATTAAATTAAGCAAATTTAATTGAATGTGTAAAAACAAATAGAAGTAAAATTCGAAAAGCGTAAAGACTTAATTTATGATCTAATAAAATAATTATTTTTATTATACTAATTTGTGTCTCCTAAACATATTCAATAATAAAATATGTTATTAAAGACCACAGTTCTTGTTGATTCATTCTAACAATGAATAGTTGTAATTTATTTTAAAATGACCGCAAATGAAGTAATCGCGATTAAAAGAGAAACAAACAAAGAATTTGGAAATATTATTTTAAAATTGCTTAAAACTATAATCGAGGATCAAATTGAAGTAATTCATATATGTAATAAATTATATCCACATTGATTGAAATTATAATGAGGGAATATCATTGAAGGACTATCTTTTTGCCTTTGACTTAATTTTCTTATCAAAACATTTATGATTGCCGTGAGACCAATCATGAACAAGCGTATTCATTTCCACTCAAAAATCCCCTGTACGTTCCAAATTTAAGAAATCTAGCAAGTTGTTCATGAGAAAAAGATACTAGAAACAGTTTTGCATTTCTAAGTCGGTAAGGCAGTCGATTTCGAGGAAAAGGCTACAAAGTGCTTAGTTTATTCTAATACCCTGTTTTTATCCAAATGATATTATAATTTTATATCTTTCATGATTTGTATTTACTGTTACAATATGAACACAACAGAGAATAATATGTTTTAATGTTCATTTTATATAGGATTATCCAATTCATCAGAAATCCTCGTGCTTGAGACAAGTGAGAACAGTAACAAAGCGATATTTCCATACATAGACTATGTACACATTTACTTCTATAAAACGTTATTTTGTCGAGAACTTTCATAATAACAAAGTTTCAGAGACACAACCTTGAAGAGTTTTAAGTGAAATCCTTAAATACTAATCTAGTTTATGTTATTATTTAATTTATGGTATTTAGACTGGATTTCATTACAGAAATATTTTTTTAGTATAATTATGAACAATAATTTAATTTTGATAAGTAAGTAATGACTGAGTCCTTAAATTGTCTTTGAGACAATGTACACTTATAAATATACGTCATAAAGTTCAACCCTTTTTTGATTAAAAATGCAATTCGGTGTCAAAGAGAATATCCTTAATTTTCAACTTACTGTTATTGACTAACCAAATCCAAATTTATTATTATTAAGAATATTATAATAGAAATATCATTAATCGACTGGAAATATTTTTCTAATAAAACTAAATTCGACCATGTCATATACTGGATGATAATCTGAGCTCGATAATAATGAAAAATTTCATGTGAAACTCACCTTTTATAATGTTTGTGTTTCTGATACATGGCGAGTCTGAAAAGTCTTGAGTTATACAAATGTAGTATTTTTACAGATTGAATTGCTACCAATTACATTTTTTTTACACATGCAAATTCCAAATTATATGGATAACATTGTATATCTTTAAATCTAAACAATTTACATATCTGCATAAATTTATTTTGAAAATTTGACTCACTCTAAATGAAATAATGCAAAATGATGTTTCATTCATACTCTTATATTTAAAGATATATACATAGAAGTACATAGAATTGTATACAATACAAACATCGCGAAAATATATATAAGAATTTAACTTTTATAAAAAAAGGATTTACTATAGAAGAATACTGTCACTGATTCATGTTACGTTACTGAAATTCATGTTACTTAAATGTCATGTTACTGTATGGTGTATGATGCACCAAGCCATACAAAGGTATTGCACGTTTGCTGCAAAAATTTTTGAATCGAACATTCATAATGAAAATCAAGTATAATATAAATCAATAATATCAATTTTAATGCTGAATGTACATCAAATAAAAATGAAGACTTAT